ACAGAACAGAGCACTCAGAATCAACAGACAGGCAAGGAGTTGGGATCACCTTGCAGCTATACTAATTCTCCTGCCTACACAAAGTGAGATGCTGCCTTCAGGGTTCTCTGGAAGCCTTAGGGCAACTGGCAGGCATTTTGGAAGGAGAACGAGAAGAGAAAAATTGGGCAACCCTCTCAAGGCTCATTCTCTTTGTGTAAAGGTGGGTGGAGTGAGTGTAGGATTTAACTGTGTTGGAGAATTCATGATTACAATATTCACTTATGTGTTATGCTGGTAAGGTGAACCTCACAGCTCATTGGTAATTTTTTCCCACATTCTGATAGAAGAAGTGGTTTTCAGATGCACTCACCAAATCTTTATTGAATATCTGCTATGTGTCAGGCATTATGCTATTCAGAGGGTATATAAAGATTAATAAATTATGGCTTTCTTAACTTTGAGATGAGGGGAAGACATGCATAAATAAATAGTTGGTGAACAAATTGCCCTGTCAGTATTTAGAAAATGTGAATGCTAACTCCAACTCAGAGACATTGAAATAACAGAATCCTGAAATTGAAAGGCCACTTACAAATAATATATTCTAACCACTTAACTGGTATTTGATCTTTCTCTGACCCAACATTAATGTTGGAAAGGGCAGAAGAGAGTCAGTTTGAATCATCCCATTGGTAAGGAAGGGAGATGGACAAACATGACACCCTACAGTGGACAGTTGAGTTCAATAGTTTATTACCACTTACACTCATGGCCCAAGGACAAAAGACACCTGATAAGCAAGGCCACATGGGGATTGCACTCAGTCCTCGGGTAGGGCTGTGGGAAGGAGATTTTGTAGTTTCAGTAGGTTGGGATGCCCCTGGCCCCCACCAGAGAATGTGACAGCCTTATTTGGATAATTCAGTGCCCTGAACCTACCAGTCAGGCATAAACAGAAATTGCGCCTGATCCCTTTGATAAGGAGGGTTGTTTGACTAGGGAATCTTATCTGCAAGAACACAGTGGGAAGGGAATGTGTACTTAGTTAAATAAAGGAAAAATAATTTCTTCATGTGTATTTTAAAAACATATTTAGGGGCCAGAAGGTGGCAAGGTGGTCAAGGAGCTGGATTTCCATATGGCCAACCAATTTGGGTACCAGATTTGGTGACCTGATGATCACACCAGGTGTGTGTGCATGTCTGTCCATGGTCCTGAGAGAAAAATGGAGGAGGTGGGTATTGTGGCATGGTCATCTCCCCCCAAGGGTTATGTCTCACTTTTCCTCTCTCTGTCTCTTTCCAGCAAGCACACACCCCCTATGGCAAAAACCTAAAAATCCCCAAAATATATTTACATATGTTCATGTAAAAGATATATATACATGTATATGTACATCTCTATAAGCTACTAGTCCTATTTTTCTGGAAGGAATATTGATAGCAACTATATAATATTGTTTTAAGAATAAAATATAATTATGCCAATTCCACTGAGTTCCACTTGAACAAAATATTGTTTTCCCCAATGTCAAGGGACATAGGCTACTGGGCTGCAGTTTGAGACCTTACACCACATCTATCTAGCCAATGTTCGAACATTTCCAGTAATAAGAACTCAATACTATGTTGTCAATTCTTTCTTAGTTAATAGCTGTCTCATCACTATTTATATAACTTTTGTCATCTATGTGACACTAGTTGAAAACCTGTTTATTGCCATGGCAACATTTCATATATCCACTGTTAGATACTATAAGAATATTCGTTGGGTACCTCTTTTTGGCCAATCTCTCTGACCCATCAGGATCTTGCAATTTCATCCACATATTATAGGATAGTTTATGTGTCATTTTGACTAGGCTATAGTATCCAGTTACTCAGTCAGACACTAATTTAGGTGCTGTGAAGGTATTTTGTAGATGTGGATAACACTGACAATTACTTGACTTTAAGGACATTACCATCATTAATGCAGCCAAGAGAGAAACAGCAAGTTACCTACAAAGGCTACCCCATCAGGTTAACAGCAGACCTCTCATAGGAAACAATGTGAGCAAGGAAAGAATGGGAAAATATATTTAAAGTGTTAAAGGAAAAGCAATTTCAACCAAGAATACTATACCCAGTAAGATTATCCTTCACATGGGAAGAAATGACAAGAACATTCTCAGATAAACAAAACCTGAAAGAATTTACCAACATCAGACCAGATCTCCAAGAAGTTCTCAAGGGAGTGCTATACCAGGAAAATTAAATACAGACACACAGAAATAAGAGTTCAAAAACTAAGAAAATGGTCAACTTAATCATAAGGACAAGTTTGGAGTTGAATATTATATCCCAGAATTTAATCAGAAAGTTCAAACCACAACAGAAGATACATTAAGTACATGAGACTGAACTGGTGAAATAGCATTTTATAACTTTTGACTAAAACATTGCTAATTTTCTTCTAGGCTTTGTTTTCTGGTTTTAAGGTTTCTGTCTTGTATTGAGCTGTCGACAGGTTCATGTACCTACTATTTGAACAGAATCCTGTTTCCTGGCTTTAAGTTTTAAGCAAAGTTCCTTAGCATTTCTTTGATTTATTAAAGTTAAAACTGCTTTTCTTGAAATTACCAGTTGAATTTGCTATTGAAAGTAGTTAGATGATTTAAGAAATTTTGTGGTCAATAAAATGTGGGAGGGAAAGGAATAGAAAACAATTGTAGACACCAGAGATAGTGTGAGAGGAGGGTGAGAAATGGCAGAGGGTCAGAAATAGGGGTATTATGTGTGTGTGTGTGTGTGTATGTGTGTATGTATATAGAAGTATTGTATATGTATGTGTGTATGTGTATATATATGTATATATACATATATATACATATGTGTGTGTTTGTGTGTGTGTGTATATGTGTATATATACATATATATATGAAACTAGAAATGGAAAATTATTGATGATAGCATGCATGATTAAGCCACTATGCAGTATATTCTGGATGGGAAAATATATTTTGTATGCTTTGATGATGCTCAGGAAATGAATGTAAATTAATTAAGAAAAGATGTTTGAGAAAAAAAAGCTCATGCAAATATGTGTAATGGGAAAACTGTATGAATTTCAAAAAGTTTTTGTATCAAAATAAATTCATACATAGTTTTTTTAAATAAATTCATACTTTAATTGTTAAAAACATAAATAAAAATAATGCAGGCATGCCTCATTCAATCAGTTGAAAGGCCTTAAGAGCAAAAACTAGTTTCCCAGAAGAAAAAGAAATTTTGCCTCGAGACTGTAATATCAGATTGTACCAGAGAGTTTCTACTGCTGGCTTGCCCTACAGAGTTCAGACAGGCCAGATCCCACAAATGCATGAACTGATTTCTTAAAAAAATGTCATTATATGCGTGTGTGTTTTATGTGTGTGTGTATGTATATATATAATATACATACACACACACATATATATGAAAAATTATATATTTTTCACATATATATGAAAAATGTACACATATGTGCAAATAAATACATTTATGATAACTATGTATCTATATAGGAGATGTTTGCATTTTGGGGTTCCCTTAAATTTAACTATTTAACATACAATATTCATTATTTAATGCCTTATTGTGAGGAAATAACAAAAATGTAATCTTTGGGTTACAAAACTAAGCAAAATTATATACATAAAGGCCATATTTAAAAAAGTAACTGTGATGCAACCATGAAATAAATCATGTGTTTAAGGTAGAGTTTTCTGACACTACATCAGCCATGTGTTTCTAGGATAGAATTGTTCTCAAAGTAAAGATATCAACCGTGAAATACAGAGGTAGATCTGTTGAAAACCCAGCCCTAACTTCAGAACTTGAGGCATTTATCCCATATATGCAA